GGATGATTCTAAGTTTGTGGCCTGATCACCTGGAAGGATAGGCAGCGAGAACAGCATGTACAAAAGCTCTGAGGTGGGCACACGCTTGGCATACCACATCAAAGACACCCTGTGAGTTCACCCAGTTCCCATTTCTGAGGATATGTACGTACCTTTCTCCCTGCCCTACGATGAACCCTTTATCACACGATCATTAAGTTCCATTATCTTCCAGGCAGAATTAATTCTTCCTCTTGTGATCCAACGCACTGAATAACCTGTCTGTCCTTGCAAAGCTGTTCTTCTCTCTGGGTCTTCAGCCTCATACTCCTCGGCCCTGCTCTAGCTGTGTGACTTTGAGTAAGTTACTCAACCTCTCTGAGTCTGTTTCTGCATCTGTAAAATGGGGATATTTCATTCTCAGAGTACATTATCCTCAAAATACACCTACTCTCAAAGGCGTTTGTGAGGATTAAAGGTCAATATATGTAAAGGACTTAGAAAAGTATCTCTGGCACACAGGAGACACTCAAGAGGTGTTAGCTATTTGCTAGTCTGTCATCCTTCTCCCTCTCCAAACCCCTCCACCCCAACCTTATGTATCACTGAGACCTATTTACCACCTGGCTCCCCTTATATCTCAGATCTCGCCTTCAATCCCTCTCTCCTCTGCTCCAGCTACACTGGCCTCCTTTGTGTGCCTTGAACATGCCAGGCGCAATCCCAGCTCAGGGCCTTTGCATCAGCTGTGCCTTCTGTCCAGTGTACTCTTCCACTACACATATGGCTCCCTCCCTCTCTGACCTCCTTCAGGCCTTAATTCAAGAGCCACCTTCTAAATGAGGCCTGCCCTATGCCTAAGATTTTAACCACCCTACTACTCTATTCCTACCTTCCCTACTTCATTTTTCTTCCTTAGCACTTGTCTAAAATACTATCTTTTACTTGTTTTATTTATATAGTCTGTCTCCTCCACTTTTAACAAACGTATGTTCCACAAGAGCAGGAATTTCTGCCTATTTTTTCCCCTCCCACATCTCCAGCACCTAGAAGAGTGCCTGGTACTTACTAGGTGCTCAGTAAAGTGTTTGATGAATGAACAGTCCCATCTAACTAGCCTTTTAACTAGCTCTCAAATGCCCTCTTCATTCCCATCTGCTCCCCACCCTGACCTGTCTGAAGTTATATTTTTCCCATTCATTCATGCAATAAATTTGTATTAAGCACCTGCTATATACCAGGGATATTTTTTAGGTGCTGGAGACCCAGCAGGACTAAGCAGACAAAAACTGTAAGCCTTCATGGGACTTCTAAAGGGGAGAGACAACACAATAAACTGATCAACTATACAGTGTGAGCCACAGTAATAAAGGGCAAAGGAAAAAATAAAGCAGAGAAGGGGCCTTAGCCCTGCTAGGTGTGCAGGTTGAGATGGTCAGGGATGAGGTGACATTTGAACAGAGTCCCAAAAGGAACCATGACCAGGGGACAAAGTGTTCTGGGCAGGAAAAATGGCCAATGTAAAGGCCCCGAAGCTGGACCACTGTGAGTTTGAGGACAAGTGAGGAGGTCAGTGTGGCTGGAGTGTAGGAGGTAAGGCCAGAGAAGTTACTTGCGCATATGAGAGAGGAAGGGAGAGGGAGAGAGAGGCAGAAACATCAATGATGAGAATCATTGATTGGTTGCCTCCTATAGGACCCCCACTGGGGATCGAGCCCACAACCCAGACATGTGCCCATAATCGAACGAACCCGGGACCCTTCAATCTGCAGGCCGACGCTCTATCCACCGAGCCAAACCAGCCAGGGCTACTTGCTTCATTATTAACTCACAGGTATTCTTTACTTACACTGGAGGGGATTCTAGTTCTGACCCCCTCCCCCATTTTACAAATGAGGAAACAGGTGTAGAGAGAAAATAGTTAAATTACTAAGGTCACACAGCTTCTGGGATTGGGGATGGAAGGATGCTGAGATAAGTTAGGCAATGGAGCCTTCCTGGCGTGGCTCATTGGTTGAGTAAGGACCTATGAACCAGGAGGTCATGGTTCAATTCCTGGTCAGGGCACATGCCTGGATTGTGGGCTCCATCCCCAGTGTGGGGTGTGTAGGAGGCAGTTGATCAATTATTCTCTTTCATGATTGATATTTCTATCTCTCTCTCCCTCTCCCTTCCTCTCTGAAATCAATAAAAAATAACTTGGTTTTTAAGGAGTGGGGCCTCACATGGGATGGGATGAGCAGAAAGGGGAGCCTCAAAAATTATCCTGTGTCCCGAGGGGCACCCTAACCAATGCTTATTGGGTCACCTTTGAGTAAGGTATTTACTAGTAACCTCCCTATGCCAAAGTTTCCTCAGCACCTATCTAGCAGGGTTATGGTGAGGATTAAATGAGCTCATTAAGATAAAACACTTTGCCTCGTACTCATAAATGTCAGTAGGTGCTCAATAAATGTTAGCTCCTGTTAGCATTATCACTACTATGTTCTCGAGTAAAAAAGACTTGGGTTCAACAAGCAGGTAAGCTGATCCACTATTAAGAAGGAGGGAGGGGTTCAGGGACAGCCACGACTGATGCACCACAAGGAAAGGAGAGGGAAAGTAAAAGCACACAGGCTGACCCTCCTGCAGGAGGGATTGCAAAGCATTGGGCTGTGACTGCAGCACATGGATAGCCGGAAGGCTCATGAA